AGGACAAGTTGAAGGTGAGTATAGGGAGGCTGGTGACACAAAGACAAACTTCAGCAACCTTACAATTTTGCCTATACCACACACATAATATTGATCTAAAAACACTTAAAAACTCAGATTTAATAAGAAGCTACTACTTCTGTGTATTTATGGGAAGCCTCTTTAAATTTAAGTGTAAGAATATGTCATCAATAAGCAGTCTAGAAGATGTCTGACATAACTAAAAAATAAAACTTTGGAGCCTTATTCTGAGCAAAGTCTGATAAAATCAAACATGTACACACACATATGTTTCTCTGAAAAGAATACCAAACAAGGCTAATATAAATTGGCAACCCCAAAATGTAAGGCTTCTTGGTATAAAATATATTGGTTTAATCAACATACTATCCTAAATGTTGTATATTTATTTCAAATATAAAAATATGTATACTGAAATAAAAAATGCTTTAAGCATGAAAGCTGACAGAAAAGGAAACATCTTCTAAAATATCATTAGATAAATGAGACATTGAAATGTTTTTCAGGAACACGGAGCAGTCCTTGAAAGTGAAATAATATAACATTAGCTAACATTTATTGAGCAATTTCTACATGCCAGGAACTAGGTAGGACTACACCTCCTCTCAGCAAAATTATCATCCTGTGTAGATCCTGCCACTTTCCCTATTTAATAACAAGGGCACTTAGAAAATCGAGTCAAATGGTTATTAAATGCCTGAGCCTGGATTCTAATCCAGGGTCTCAATTTACCCTTCTCTGCCTGTTGAACATTCCTTGAAAAGGTGTTTCCCAGGATGTTCATACATAACGTGTAACTTCGAATTAGTGTAACTAACTTTTTAAAAATGTATCTGATTTAATAGTGCTACTTGCCAAAATGTCTCCTTACAGGCTACACGTTCACATCAGAAATACCATTGTAAATCCCCTTTTGTATCTACAATTAGTGTCAATTTCTGTGCCAGATAACAAATAATCTGCTTTATAATCACATCAAAGTTTCCATGAAGCCACCTTGTTCACCACTTTTGGTTTGGATGATAATGATTTGCCAACAAGCAAACTGTTAAGGCTGCATAGCAAACCCCTAGAGAGATTTCTATAGCGACTGATGCTAAAGACATCATTACTGAAATAAGCAAACAACCTCCTAAGGTGTCTACCTTAAAGAGAATGACACACGTTATGACATGTATTTGTGAAATATTTTCTGGTGGGAAAAAAAAATCGATTATATCACCCCCTGATATCATCATCCCCATAAATGAGCAAAGGTTATAAGTCTAAGGAAGCAGTACAGCATCATAGCTAAGGGCATCTAGTGGAAACAAACCAACCTAGGTTCATGTCCTTTGTCTGGCACTTATGACCTATTAGACCCTGGGCAAGTAATGTCACCTCCTTAAACTTAAGTTGTTAAAATATGTAAAATGGAGCAAACTGTAGTGTCTATCTGAGAGGTTGTTGTTTGGATAAAAAGAAAAAAGTTTATAAAACCATTAATACAATTAAATCAATTAAAGTAGTTAATACAAGACGAACAAATAGCAAATGGCCATTAAATCTTTGGCACTTTAAATTGATTTCTTTCAACTGTCATTCTAATAAGATAGTATTATTTTTGCACATATACTACAAATAGCATTGTATTACAAATATGAATATTATTCACATTGAAATACTTAACTATAGATTTAGTAAAAAAAAAAATTATCTATAGGAAATCAGACCTCGTTGGTTTGGGTCTTTGTCACAGTGAAGTAGAATATACTGGTAAAACAAACTAGTGTTAAGCCCTGACTTAAATTTAAAAGTTCTATTGCATTTTACTTTTAATTTTCATCATAGTCCAAAATAATTTAGAGAGACTTCATTTCTAACGATAATTAATTCTCTTTTTTCCTAGTAAATTAGAATATGGATATAATTACGTATCTCCTTATTTTCAAAGCTAGTATGATTGGGAAGCATTTAATCTATACATGATCTTGTCTTCTTGAAAAAAATTGTATTATTTTCCTTAGATTAAAATTTTAGGTAAAAAAAAATATTTAAGAAGTAACTTTAAAAGCTCTCAACTAAGTAAAATACCATCTTTCAGAAAATTACCTAGAGAGATAAATAAAACAAGGTACATTTTGCAGTGAGGTGGCTTTATTCTCTCTTTTCGAGATTTCTTTGTCTTATTTTGGTGTTCTTAATAAGGAGAGTTAGCAGGAATAGGAAATACCAGATATAAATTGTTAACTGTTAACACTTTCTGAGTCCTTTTTTCTTCTTTAATACATATTTACACCAATTGAAATCAATAGAAATCATACACATCCCAAGTGGGATTTTATTTAAAACCAAAAATGCAAAATGTCTATGGCGTCCGTTTTGCCAGAAGCAGCAAACAGGCCTCTAGACATAGCTGTAATGTTGACCATGCATCCAAGAGAGAGCAACCTCTAGGTCTCTCTTGAACAGAATGCTCCATTAGGCATTCCATGGGCCCCCCCTTCCCGGAAGGCCTCGGCCCAGCCCCGTTGCCATAGATGGCCATCAGACATTTGGAATGACATCAGGAGATAATCTGAGCAGGCTCTGCCCTAAAGAATTCAAGCTAGCAGGAGACTGAAGATATCAATGTCTTCTTGGCTGACAACAGCATTCCAAAGGTCAACCAGGGTGAAAGAGGATGGACTTGGAGTTTCTAGTGCCTTTTCAACAACCAAGCAGCTAACAAGTATAAAGAAGCATCCCTTAAGACCCAAAAAAAAAATAATAATAAAATAAGACAATGAAAGTCTGGAAGTATACTAGAGACACCATGCCTATGAAAAGGAAATAAGAACGTATACCCCTTTGGTCAGGGAATTTTAGGACTGAAGAGATCTCTACCTCTTAAAAATAAAACTGACGAAGTTCTCATCCTGAACTTGATGGTGTAGAAGCTGAAATTCTTCACAGGAGAGTAAGAATGGCTTTTAGTACAGTTTGCCAATTTCCAGTCTTGTGCTGTATGTTGGGTGGCTCATTGAATCCTCATAACGAAGTTTAAGAGTATGTTCCACATTTTATAGATGGGGAAACTGAAACAAAGGGAGGTTCCATAACTTGTACCTGATAGTATCTTCATCGAATTTGAGGAAGCTATGCTTTGGTAACAACCCTCACCTGACACTCCCCCCCCACCCCCGCGACCTTAAGAGTGCTTTTTAGCTCGTACTTTAAAAGGATAATTCCATTTCCTCAGAATTTTTTAAGTATCAATAAGAACGTTAATCCAACTAGTCTCTTTTAGAAGACGTCATATGAAACTATGACGCTACCAAGAATATATTTTTAGTTTGGGTGACAGTGCTATTCCCTCACACACTTTATTCTTACTAGAATTTCTTCCTAGAGGCGTGCTTAGAAGTATTTTCTCTTCTAAAAGGGTACTGCTGTGGAAAATCTTCCATCAGGCCCCTTTTCTGTAGGGTTCATTTGCCTTAGCCAACCCCAGGCAAGGTGCCCTCGTCTGGCACAAAGTGTACTAGATAGACCCGCTCTGGTGACCTTATCTTTTTTCTAAATTTATGGCATCGTTTAGGGGTGCATCTCTTAACTTCTCCGGGCCCCACTTGTTTTCCCTGTGAAAAATTAGGTGCTTGTGTTAAATGTTCCCTAGACCTCTTTCAGAAGAAGATAAGGAAATTCTGACTTTAAAACTTTCCACACTGGTGCCAGGAAATGCAAATGCCAAGAGTGTCCTAAAATTTGGCTGGTATCATAAAGCAGATTCTTTCTTTCTTTTTTTTTTTTAACCAGCATTCATTTAAAACTCTAGAGCAGCACATTCCAATAGAACTTTATGCAGTGATGGCAATGTTCAACATCTCGCAGTCAAATAAGGTAGCCGCTAGCTGCCTGTGGCTACCGAGTACTTAAAATGTGGCCAGTATAACTGAGGGACTAAATTTTAAATTTTATGTAATTCTAATAAGCTTAAAGAGCCATAGGCGGCTAGCGGCTACCATATTGGTAGCAGCTTACAGCTTCAAGAGAATGACAATATAAACACTTCACACCTTTGATTTATTCAGCCGAGTACTTGACAATGCCTTTGGAGCACTGATCTTTCCACCACTCTTGCTGCCCTTGATACAGCTCCACCGGCAGATCAAAGGACAGCCGAGACATTTGCATTTCGTGATGCCATTTCTGCAAGAGTCCCCGGCACTGCTCTCACGTGCTAACAAATAAAGGGGACGGCAACGGAAAGGAAGTTTAGGGGGTTTCGTGTCTTTTCTCCCTAGACTCCCATTTGTCGTGTAGCTTGCGGCCTTTCCCTAGCCAAGACGCGAACAGACCAACGAGGCAGCTCAACTACCAGAGCCAGCAGTTGGCTGTTAGGTTTCTTTTAAATAATCGTGTAGACCCTGAGAGATTGGGCTATAAAATCCAGCTCTGAGACCGCGTCCTTTCCTATTGGTCCGTCAGGTGAAAAACCGGGCTGACTGGCGGGCCAGGGGCGGCGGCCAGACCCGCGCCTGCCGCGCTCCCTCTCCCCCAGGCGCGCACACCACTCCGAGCACGCGGGGCGGCCAGGGCCGCTGGACGCCGACCGCGTGCCACCGCTTTGTGCACCGTGCGTAGGTGGGTTTCCTGGGCGCTAGGCTCGGGACTCAGCCCCAGCTCTCCGGGGTCGTCTTTCTCCAACCTAGGGGAAATAGCCCCACGATCCCCAAACCAGATGAGCGCGGCAACTCCCCAACACCGCCACCGAGCGTTTCTAGGGCCCACCCACCACCGTGGCGCCCTCCTCCCATTCTCCACAGCCCACCACGCGGCCTCGCCGCCAAACCAGCAGCCGCCTTCCCCCGAGCCGTGACATCCCCCTCAAGACACAAGCCGGCACGCTCCCCGCCGAGACAGCCCGCCCCCGCTCCGCGCACCCAGGCCCACAGGCCCCCGGAGGGCCCGGAGCCCTCCTCCTCCTCGCCCGTGGCGCACGCACGTGGCGCACTCACCCCCTACTAGCTGCCTCGGAGCTCTAGAAACACTCCCGGGAGGGAGCCCCCGCCCCCTCGGCTCCGTCCGCTCGGAGGAAAGTGGGTGGGGGGAAGCGGAGACGGGCTGAGCTGGAGTAGGTAGGTCGGTCCGCTCCAGAGAAAAGTGGGTGGGGGGAAGCGGCGATGGGCAGAGAAAGGAGTATATAGGTGGAGAGCGGTGTTGGAGGGGACGACCGGCAATAATTGGATGGCGTTGCGGCTGTTGCGCCCCTGTGAACGCCCAGCCAGCGCGGATTCACTTTTCACACAAATCACCCGGAGGGATTGTTGCTGCCTGCAATCAATAACTCAGCGGAGTGAGCTGCTGAAACCAGAGGCGTCCTCTGTCTGGGTCTTTAAGGGGCCGTCCGAACTGAATTCCAGCCCTCTGCTTCCCAGACAAAGAAGGGGGCACCAAAACGCAAGACGAGATTTTTAACCCCCACCCCCACCCCGATCCTGGATAAAAATCTTTAAAAATTAAAGGGCACACACACACACACACACACACACACACACACACACACACACTCCGAAGTATCTAGAAAAAATAGTTAAAGGGGAAGTGTGACAATCCATTCTTTGAAGGTTTCTGTGATATTTCCAGAGATGGGATAGAATCAATGTTCCGATGAACATTTAACGATTTTGTAAGTGAAGGTAAAGTCCATTAAATTTAACCATGCATATGGATACTTTTTAATCTGCCACACATTTGCAAGGAAATGACTGATCTAGCCTTATTTGGGCATACTGTTCTAGGAAAACGAAGAAATGTATCATAATTTGTAGTGGCATTGTTAAAAGCCTTAGCATATCTTTCGGACATTATTCCTTGAAGATTGCATTTCTGTAAGACGAAAAGGCCCTGGGAGATGTGTATTATGATTCCCACTTAGCAGACTGTAAAACCAAGCAGAGCTGGGAGAAAGGGTATTCGGCAGGTCACCAGATACTACCAGTCACTAAATTTAAATTAACTCACTGTGGGCCTGAGTCTTACAAGACTAAACTCGGCTAACACCCCTAAAATAAAAGTAGCCAAAATTCATTTTCCTTCACTGAAGCAATTTAAAAATAAAAAAATCTTAGGGATGTCAACCCAAATATAGAGGCTTTATAAATCTTAATGAGTTTTCACTATGAAAAGTCTTCTTACTAATACAAATGGGTAAATGAATATCGACCATCGTGGTCTGATATGTCTCAAGGTTGGGAGTAGACCCACTTTGAAGCCAAGGAGAAGTTCATCTGTGCGCTCTAAGTCATAGAAAGCTAGTTTCAAGCAGAGACTAGAACACAGGAGTATTTGTCTGTGCTCAGTATAGTCAAACTGCTGGGAAGGAAAAGGTATTATTGGTAATAGAATTCATAAAGGCGACTGAATCCACACCACTATTCCCAAAGTATTTAAAATTGGCCTTTAGGCGACATATACAATAAGCCCTTTCAGCAACTTCAGCTGCAACTTCATTATCCCAACTTGACAAATTTGGTTAGCTTGGGATATGATGGATTTGACTTTCTCCTTTGTAATTGTTAATCAGATACAAAATTAAAGGTACAAAAATAAAGATAAATATAGGCTCTTTAGATATGAGATAAAGGATATGATTAAACCTTGGCTTGGAATAACAAATCCTTTGCATATTGCAGATTCTCAATCACAAGCAGTCCATATGGTGTATACTGTTCATAGGCTAAAGCTGTACCTAAAGAATTTCTGAAATTTAGATATTTGGCACTATTTATGTTAAAGGCTATAAGTATTTTCACAATTAATGGTAATTTTAATAATTTTGTGTTTAATATACATTCATGTGGTTTAAAATCAGAATTAACACTAATGTTACTTCAGATTAGAAGTTTTAGAAATACAGTTATTTGAATGTACTTTAATATCAACACTCTTAAAAAAGATTTTTTTTAATTATGTACCTTGTTGTACTTACACATTTTAAGGTGCCAAAGAAGAGTTGCAAACTGTGAAGTAACTTCTATGAAGAGATGAAGTAAAGAATGGAAGGCAAATGACTGTATGTGTATGTGGTGAGTGCTTAACATTTGTTCTATCATTTACCACCAAGTTAATTCGTAAAGGTAAAATTGCCAGACTCTTGGCCATGAGGTATTTGTAATGTAGGCACCTATAAAAGTGATAAAGAGTCATGTGACCATTGTATGCTTTACATTATAAGCAATAGCATGTCATTTTGTTTAAAGCTCACATGTCACCTTTCAGGGCCTACCTTTGCAAGTCTTTTTTACAATTAATCCATTTCAGGGGAAGTTATGTGTGTCATCTGTACTGTAGCTATAAAAAGATAAAACATTTTTAATGCTATTGGAATTTGTATCTTACTACTTTTTATATTTTTCTGAACTTCTATGTTCAATTATGTTTGTGTTGAAAGCATTCTGGCTGAAGAACAAATACTACACAGTTGAATAATCTTGAGGGGTAGATTAATCTATAGCCTCTCTTCATCTTAGGGTGGGTTGCTGTGGCAACCGCCCCAGCTTACTTTAAAATAATTTTTTAAAGCTCACTTCAAGAGCTACACCCAGCGTGGGCCAAGCTTAAAAGCAGGCATACCCAGTGAACAGGGTTTTGGTAGACTGCTGATTTAATGTAGGGAAGTAGTAAAGAGAGGAGGGTGGAGTAAGATGGTACACAACCTTGAACAGAAATTAGAAATTAGCTTTCTTCAGATTCAAGACCTCAGGATTATGTTCTCTGGAACTTCTGTGGCACTTAATGAAATAGATTGCTAAACAATTCTTTTTTGGGGGGAACGAGTTACTATATATTTACATATATAATAAAACACAATAGTGATTTCATGAAGGAAATATCCGACGATTAGGGAAAAAACCTTATTTAAATAGTACAACAATCTCAGACATCATTTTATCTTAAATTATTTGTCACCTTTTATTTAACATGATAGGCCACTACCATCCAATTGACTTACAAGGTATAAGAATTTTTTACTTACCAATCATAGAACTGGAATAGATCGAAGAATTCACTTAACTCACTTAATGAATAAGCAAACTGAAGCCCAGAAAGGACACACTCATTAGTTAGGCACAAATCTTGAACCAGAGAGTATGGGCCTCCTAACACCTAGCACAAGCTCCTCCCTACACCAAAAAAAACCACTATGATACTAGCCAAGTACCATTAGGTGTCAAAGATCAGGGTGATTTTAGTAAAAAACAAACAAAAAACAAACAAAAAACCCGCAGAGTATTAAAGAAGAATACAAAGCACATTTTGGATTAACCACTTTATGGATTACCAATGAATAATTTTAAATCTCTGTGACTTTCCATTGTATATTTCTGCACAACCTCTTTTGTTCTGCTTCAACTATAAAGGCTCATGGGAAGGAAACTAATGCTAATATTAACTTAGGTCACACATAATTAAGAAGCTAAATCTGCTGAGGGGAATATCTTATATTTTAAAAGGCCAACTGTGATACATTCCAGATCCAAATTATTTCCAAATTATCCACAGTGAGGGGTTATACGTATTTTTCAATGCTTGTACTACCATTGATAATGATGGGTTTATTATAATGTTTATTATTAAATAATTTCTTAGGATGTTAAAAGGTAAAATAGTTTCTTTTTGAAGGAAAACCATCAAAATCTGAAGGGCACTGTGGTAAATACAAATAATCTATAATCCATCAAAAATAGTATGGTTGAAAGTCATGTATCACCTATGTCCATTTGCTCATGTAAAATAGGCTGTGGCAATTCATTGCATTAATTTCAGGCCTTATGAAAATACACTTAGATGTTCCTACAAATGTTTTGCTTTGTCAACGCATTTGTGAATCTGGAAAAAATTAAATTAATTTCATTTTTACCACCATATATAGACATATCTTATTATTCTAAATGACTATGCCCTTTAAATTTTGGGATTCTTTTTTTAGAAATTGTACCTTAAATAAAAACCTGATATAGATTATCTCTGCCATATTATTAAAATGAATTCATGATAGTAGTATGAAAAACAAACAGGCAAATAAATATACTGTAGATAATAATCTGCAAGAAATAATACTATTTCAGATGGCTTTTGCTTTGTAACAGTATGCCATGCTTTCCTATAATAAAAGCAAGAGACTCATCTTAGCTGTGCTGATAGTCACAATGCTGATGAGCCAGAAGCCTGAAGATTGTTCAGATCTGGTTGTACTTGCCTGTAAAATCAGCCTTCTCCTTTCAAGTGAAGCCTTGGGGCAGACACCTGAATGTTGAGCCTGCTCTTCTGAGAAAAGCTACTCACATCAAATAGCCCCTACAATGAAGCAGGAGGCTTTTTGAATCACACTGTCCTCATGCATTAAAATAGTCTAGAGGCATAGTGCAGAACTTAACAGGAAATGCAACTAGTCATTGGGTTAAACACATAGTGCTAAAAGGAATTTTTTAAAGTGAGGAATTATCTTTAATTAGTTACAGTATACTCCTATTGTCTACCTCTGTATGTTGTGTTATTTCCCCAATTTCTTTTCTTCCTTTCACATTAAAAATTTTTAATTTGGTTTAAACATTTTATATGATCTCTATAGTTCTACTGGCATGCAATCTTGTATTTTCATGGTTTGTGTACTAGTTGGTGTATTTTGATTTTTTGGGGTGTGGTGTAATTGGCTAGAAGGGAAGTGCCCAACCCCTAGTAGCCTTTCCTAAATCTTGAATATTAACCTTTTTTTTCCTTTTTGTGTTTTTTTTTTTTGTTTTTTTTTTTGGGTTTTGTTGTTGTTGTTGTTGTTGTTGTTTTTTTGGTAAGGTCAAGTGTTTACTGTGCTTCAACCTTAACATAAGTATCTTCCTTATCAGTCTCTATTTCTGCTTCCTGTGCAGCTGAAACTCTTCAGGATAAGTGAAGTCATCAGCTATCGGGATAGGGAAGCCTAATGCATTTGGGAAGTTGGTTTGGTTCACATGCTAATGCTCTGGATAAAATCCAGTAAGGTGTGGAAGAGATAGAAGTAGGCGTTGGGAGGGGGGAAATCTCCGAGGAAGCTGCCGCCTCGGTAAATATTTCCAAACTGATTAGAAAGTTCATGGCCCCGCGATGAAGTCGAGATTTCAAATACTGGTAATTATTTTATTATTTTGTACATTACTAACACATGAGAAGTATTTCGGCACGCTTTTTAGCCCTCCAGCCTTTCAGGGCCGAAAACCGCCTATTCTGGGCGTGCAGGAAAAGCGCGCTGGAATCGAGTGCTGCAGACATCCTGGACGGTGGCTTCTACGCGTGAGTTACAGAGGAGCGCTCGGACCGGTGGAAGAAAGAAGTGGTTAACACGTCTCCAAACCGGGGAAAAGTCACGAGAGCAACTATTAGGGTCGCGCTCCTATTGGTCAGAGGAAAGATTCCGACTTTAGAAGGACTTTCCTGCTGGCTGGCTCGCAGAGTCCCCGGGGAGCGAGCGCGCGGCAGCCGGAGATGGTTCTCCGAGC